TAAAAACTCAATACATATATCCATATGCATATTCCAACTGTAAGATGTTAGCAGCTGGTATTTTTATTATAATCCAGCTGTACGGAATTTTCATAATGCATAGTTCATATAGTTTACACTCGCGAATACCTGTTCGATATTCTGCTGTAGTCTACATCACGAAAAACGTGTCGTCAACCATGTCTGTATCCGGTCGCCACGCTGTTCCCCCGGAAACCACCGGCACGGCACTGCTGACATTTTTATTCCAACCGACTCGCTGATAACGCTATAGTCGCTGTTCCACGGCGGTCTTACAAAGGCCGCCCGGGCCGCAAAAATGTTTTGGGCGTCCCCCCCGAATTTAAGCGACACCCGCGATCTTGTCACGCCGTCGACTATTGGAAAACGCGCAAATAGGTATAATAGTGGCTTATCGCCCGACATCAGACGCCGCTCTTGCGCTGTCACCGTGTCGTTCCGCAGTGCAGACGAGAGCGCGTGACATACCTACGACCAGAATTCATTGTCGATTTCATTCGTTTCGTAATTTTTTCACCGTTAAATCGTGTCGTTTATATAATATATAGTTATGTGTACAATAGGCGCAGACGACAGAGAATTCTTTTTTAGAAAATTCTGTTATTATATTTATACAATTATACTAGTTATACTCTCTAGCGCAGTTTTTCAGTTGTAAATTTTGTATCGTTTTATATTATAATCTCTTTGTTAATTAAATAAATAAATAATCAGAAATCTGTTGTTACTATTGTCAACCATATATGTATATAATTTGTGTGTGTAATATATCCATATCTATCTCACGGTTTAAACATTCCATTAAACGCGATACCTGAGACAATTCAAGTACGATGCACTACTACTCGAATTTCGGCAGAGGTTTCGAATACCATAACGTCCATAACAAGTGTGGAGACCGAGACTATGGTTTACACTATTAGAAAAAATGTCGATCATTTTGGAAGCGGACAAAAAAGTTTCTCCGCCGTTTACTTTGTTGTACATAGCATGGCCGGCAGTATAAAATATACTTATAATACCATGTTAACTTCGGCAAATTTTGTTTGATGCAAATAAACATTTTTTTCTATGTAATTTAATTGGTTATTATTGAATATATATTAATATATTATTATTATTAATTGTCACCCAAATGCAATCCCGAAATTAATCTATGCAATTAGTGAGTTTGTGACTATTTTTTATTGATACTTTCGGTATTTTTGTGACTTGTGTAATAAAATCTCACGAGGAAATTTGTATTGAACACTTAATCTACTTGACAAAGGAACAAAAAAATGTTATGGAAAAAAATATTATGTGTCATGTGTGCAATTAAGCTCACATATAAGTTATGAACTTAGACGTGAAGTCATTTAGGAGTGGCTGCAAGAGTGTTCAGGGCGTTTACACCCGAGTGTAAGAGACGTTCGCAATCTCGTCACGCCACGGCCGTCACCGTGTTTTCCCAAATATTGTAGACAAGTGTCGTGACAGACTACCATATATTTTCATTGTCGATATCATTGGTTTCTTTTTTATTTTCGTTACTTTTTCACTGTTACATCTTATCGTTTGTATATGTGTACGTTCAAGACAACGGAGATTGTTATAAACTTTTTTGCTATATACATAATACATATATTTATCCTGTTCTGCTAGGTGTCTATATTATATTATAATACGTGCTACGACTGATACGTAATTTAAATGATAAAATAATATTTGTATTCATAACAACGGTCTATGCTTGCGATTCTGTCACTGTATAATGCTGATGCATTGCTGAAAATTTTCAGACGAATACGGCGTGAAGCACGTCCCTACATATTGGTGTACCAGAAACGCAATGAGACGAGTCAAAAATGGACTTTGAGAAATTTAAATTAAATGTTCTTAAATTTTATACATTTGATTTTTATCATTTCGCTATTTTTAATTTTTTTATGACGTAAAAATACTGTTCTCATTTATAGTATTTATGTCGGACTAATTATTATTGATTCAGCTTTTACATTTCTAAGATTATGAGTTTTAAATGTATCTAAAATTAAACAATATTTGACATTTTTATACAACGAACATCTACGTCATCTTTGAGGATTACGCTGTCGTACTCATCGACACCGAGTGCCCGCGGCCGCGTGCCTACTGCTGATCCTACCTGTCAACGTGCTGCGATTGTGCAGGCCGTCGAGGGCGCCGGACGACGTTAGTGCCGTATTGGTGAAGGGGATTCCCTTGCATACGTCCGAAACGTAAGCATGTGCCGTAGGGAGATGCAATTCGACAAACAATGTTTCGTACGGTTGTACTGCAAACCGAAGATCGTCAACAATGACGTCACTGTGCTAGGCGAATCCGCGGAGACGGCACGTTTTTCGAGACACTTGCGACTCGCGAACGCCACCGCAACACCCGATGCGGCCGGCACTACAGCTGCTGCTCCAATAACTGTCGTTTACGTTACAAACCTTATATATTGTGTTGGTAGCTTTAGAATAAATTGATGTATCATATTTAATTTAAATAAACGTTATCCATGTTTTTGTTTATGATATTTCAATTTTAAAGCGATATTAATATGATTATTTTTGAATCGCAACATGCATTGACCTTTTTTTTTTTTTTTGCTAAAAGGGACGATTCAGAAACCAAAGGTCATGTGGTCATCTATAACTTTAGACAAGGTTACCAACCACGAGCCGAGACCTGATAAGGTTTACCGCAGTCGAAGCTATATGTATCACCATTCACCATAGGTGATGAGCTACGTTGCGTGCAGGGTATGCAACTACACGTCAAAAGCGTCCTGAAAAACAGCTTTAATTTAAGTTGAGCAAAAATTTAAAAGTCGCATTTAAAATTTTTAAATATTGCAATATCAATATGATTTCCACAGAACTAAAGAGAATTGATTTTCGTAAATAATGATACCTACTAGAAAAGTTAACTTACTTCATGATAGGATATCATAACCGATTACATAGTCATTCGATAAATACATTTTTAATTAAACGTTTAACGATATGCATTTATTTATTCATATATTTATAGTGACAAATGTGTGTAATATATGATATTATTATATTGTTTTTATTCTTTAATATTTAAACCCGATAAAATATAACAAACATTAAAGTTATAATTTAGCTGGCTGTATCATCAGCAAAGGTGGCTAGGGTAGTGTCGTTAGAATGGGAGCATAAAATATATAAAGTTTATATTATAAGCGTATTTGTGTGTATTATAATAAACAAGTAATATTTTGATAATGAGTTACTGCAATATTTTAGAAATAAAGTGATTATGTTATATTTTGAAATTGTTAATTCATTGGTCATTCAAAGATACTGAAAATATTAAAATATCAACTCAACACTATCCTTAAAAACGTTGATCAAAATATCTAAATATTTTATCAAATTATCTCAAAAAGTATTAATAATATTGAAATGCTGTGTGGGGTAAAACACTCGAGAAATAGCGTTGAATTCCATCTTTCACCTAGCCACCGGGGCGGTCGTCTATAACCATAATTAAATATTAATAATATAATAAATTCTGTAATTTCGGAAAAATTGTATTAACTTTCTGCAATACTAATAATTAATAGGTAAATAATAATTTAGCTATGGGTATCAAAAAAATATATCATGAAATATAGGCTGACAGACCGTCTCCGCTCAGAATCGTTTTTCGTATAGATATAATGATATTGATATATCATTATATTCAAATTTAACACACCCGTAATAGTAACGCGTTCGACACCAAATGTAAGTACAACAAAGCGGTATCTACAACCCACTTACCTACCATTTTATTAAAAATAATTATTTTCAATCTAGTTTCATTTTTTTTGAAATATTATTATAGAAAGTATTCAAAACTTAAGTTTTCCTTATTCCTTAAACCTTAACAAATATATATATTTATTTATTTTCGAATGAATTAAGTACTAAGCAGTTTTAGCCACAACTATTATACATTTATACAATTAAAATTAATTAATAGCTATGTATAAACAACTTCATGCCGTGTACGCCTTTATAATTTATGGTGAGCCACGTTGCTTTTAAGTTATAACTTATAACAGTTATAATATTCGGCATTCACTATAGCGATTAGAAAAATATTATGTTATCGTGTTCCGCTTTTCGGTACATCATTGATGCTTGTCCACAAACAAAAAAATAATATATCGTTTGACGTTCAGTTTATTATCATTATTTATTATCATATTCGGTTATCTGTCTATAATAGTTTTGTAGCGGCTTCCGTTGAACTACAGGAAGAAACTGAGTGACTGTGTCTCAGATTAATTAATTTAATGAGTTCAGCATCGCTCTGTAGTTCGTCGTGTTCAATAGTTTATCATTACTTACTGTTTTATGGTACATAAAAAAACATGACGTGTAACAACATTTAGGTATTTAAATTGAACGGCGTTTAGTTTTGCGATCAGTATTTCAAAGATTTATTTACACTTTCAGTTATCCATTATAAATACTGAAATCAGTCATGGTAAGTTAAAAAAATGTTTAAGCTAATATTGATTTTATAATAAATTGCTTTAAATATACTTCTTATTAAACAATAATATTTTACAAAATTAATTCTATTAAATTTTGCTTGCAGAAGTTAATATTCAAGTTTATGGTATTAGTCTTAATGTTTTGCATTTATTCAATGTCTGTAAATGGAGTACCAAACACCAAAGAACCGGTTTTAGAAAAAGTAAGTGCACACCGTGTTTCAATAAATTATAAACGTGTAAATTCATAATTTATTAAATTACACATGTGTAGTTACAAGCACAACAGCAACATTTCAGGGGTGAAGAACACAATCCAGATTATGACCATGAAGCTTTTCTTGGACAAGAAGCAGAAGAATTTGATAATTTGACGCAAGAAGAAAGCCAAAGGAGACTTAGGTAATTTTGGTTTTTCAATTCTTAAGTTAGTTTTTGCTAAGATATTACCATCTATTAATTAGTACTTCTTATTTTGGTTGTTTTTTATAGTGTAATTGTCGATAAAATTGATAAAAACAATGATGGATATGTTACACAAGAGGAACTTAAAGATTGGATTAAATTCACTCAGACTCGTTATATAATGAATGACGTACATAGCCAATGGGATAACCACAAAAACTTAGAAAATGAAAAATTATCATGGGCAATTTATAGAAAAGATACATATGGATTTATGTCTGGTAAGATTTATTTGTTTTAATGTTAGAAATGTTTTAATTATCTTCCATTAACTATTAGTTATTATAAGCAGTGCTTGAATTGGAAAAAATTAGAAGGGGGTGCAGAAGTATAAAAAATATGTATATCTGAATTTAAATATTTTATTAGTTATTGATTAATATATTACTAGGAAGGAGGGTACAAATAAATATTTTTTTTAAAAGAAGATAAAAGAAGAGGGACTTCATCTCCCATTAATTTAAGCACTGGTTATAAGTTTATAACCCAATCAGGTCATTCTGAACTTTTGTCAATGTTGATTAGTTTCAATATTTTCACTGAATAAATTTATTTTTGTAGATGACGAAGCAAAAGAAGCACATAAATCTGATGATTCCTATACATATGCCAAAATGATACTAAGAGATAAGAGAAGGTGGGCAGCAGCTGACGTAGATAGTGACGGTCTGTTGTCCAAAGAAGAATTTATCTCATTCTTACATCCTGAAGAAAGTGTTCACATGAAAGATATTGTTGTATATGAAACTATGGATGATATGGATAAAGATAAAGACAATAAAATATCAATGGATGAATATATTGGTAATTTTATTTTTATAAATTTACTCTAAAAGTAAAGTTAGTTCCCATAATTAGTATACCTATCAAATATTTGTCATTTTTAAATACTTACCAGTTGTTACCCTATAGAAATGACCATCTATTTATACAACTAGTTTATTTCTGGTACACTTCTCAAGGATAGTTAGTAAATGTGTCACAAATTAAAAGTCACGGTCAATATATTAATAAATAGGTCTTGTAAGTTCATTTATTTTCATATAGATCTTATAAGTCATATTAAATAGTAACAAAGAAATTTGCTTCTTGTTGACATGATTTAATAAATTTTGAAATTTAATTTTGTATGTAATTGCATATTAAAGCATAATCATACATTAATTTTTTTGCATTTAAAGATTATTTAAAATTTTTTAAAGTTATTATAAACATATTATAAACTGCTTTTACGTAGGTAGATACTTACTAATTTTTTTGATGTCTATTAAAAACAATATTTGATTGAAAACTATAAACATTAAACATACTATCTAAATTTAAAATATAAAACTAATATGTAGATGTTAATATGATAAAAAGGTATATTCAATCCACAGTTAAAATAAAAATAAACATAAGTGCATATTTGAGTATTTTTAGGGTCATAGTTGTATTCAAATTCAAGTCATTTTTATTGCATAAACTTACGAGCCCTATTAATGAATATACTTGACAAATTTGCCAATCATCGAAACACTTAATGCACAAATAATTTTCTTATTTGATTATTAGTGAAGTGGCCACTTGGGAGTGCTTCAGCAACTTAATTTAAAAATAAACTTTTCTATTTATCTTTATTAGCTGATTTGTTTCCCGGTGTGGAGCCAAATGAAGAACCAAATTTCATTAAAAGTGAAATAGAACAATTTAAGACATACAGAGATAAAGATGGTGATGGATTTTTGGACATTGGAGAGGTTTGGAAAATTTAATTTTATTTCAGCAAATAATTTTAATAATTTATTATAATAATTTTTAATTTAAGGTCAAAGATTGGATATTACCTGACAATTTTGATCATGCCGAAGCAGAAAGCAGACACCTTGTTTATGAATCTGATTCAGATGCTGACGGCAAATTAACTAAAGAAGAAATATTAGCAAAATATGATTTGTTTGTTGGATCCCAGGCTACAGATTTTGGAGAGGCCATTATGAAACACGATGAGTTATAAACCAAAAAAAAAAAAAAAATTATTACAATTAATCACATTATTTTTATATAATTAGTCAATATATTTATATACATTATATTAGTGTAACCTAAATATTATTTTTATTTGTATACGAAATTTACTTAAATATTTAATATTTAATGATAATTAAATATTAAAAATTAATATCTGACTGAATCATGCCAAAACTATTTTTTCTTGTATATGATACTATTTTTTTACACTATTTATATCTGTTCAATAATTTTAGATTTTTATACTTAAAAAATATAAATCTGTTATATTCTGCTGTTTTTTGTAGATCATTTATTGATATATTTTTAAAGAGTTTGTGTACTTATATGAATGTATTTTGTAATATTCATTACATGAAAATGTAATTATTGGATTTATTAAATTGATTTTTTATTATAAATATTATCTTTATTTCATCAATAGTAAATTTTAATTAAAAACCCAGTTATACTTATTAAATATAAAGTATAGTATAAGTATAGTATATTAATATTCAAAATGTTTTGTTTGTATAGTATATTTACTGTAAATTCAACTATTTCTATCTGCATAATATTACATTGTATCAATCATGTTATAGACTGTTAACAATAATTTTCAAAAAGGTTTTTATTTTTATTATCAACAGCAACTTAATACAGCTAAACAATCTATGGTGAACCTGGACTCATGGAAATGCCATTGATTTTAATTACCTTATTTTTAACTTCCTTAAACTAAAAACAATATTAAAAAAAAAGACTGATAAAAATAAATTTTTTAAATCTTAGTTCTCCAATAAAAATTTAAAAAAAATATTTTTACCTAGGTTGTAATAAATATAAATAAAAAAATAGCATTAGTAAAATAACAATGAACTTCAATTTACAAATTAAAAAATTAAAACATTCTAACTTTTTTTACCAGTTCTTTTAATATAATATCTTATGTTAAATTGTAATATCTAATATATAACCACGAGTATCTTAAATACCAAAATTTAGTAATTTAATAATCGTTTTGAAGAAAATAGAAAAATTGGGCATGGGTGTTATATTTATGTTATTGAAATATTATGAAAATTATCAATAGGATAAAAGGTAAACATTTCTTTTACAATAAAACATTTTTGGTTTATGGTACTAGATTTGAACATTAGTCATTTTGATTAAAAGATGAGTGTAGTTGAATTTAATAAAAGCGGTTTCCTTGTAATAAAAGTGAAGTACATTAATGTTAGATAATATAAATCCAAAACCCAAAATTAGACTAGGTAGGTAGATACATAACTCGTTTTTGACTATTTGGCGCGAGCCCAACTTAAGTAAAAACATAACGCTTAACTTTAAAAAAATAATTAAATACTTGTAACTTATAGCAAATATTTTTGTCTATTTTAACATTTTTATTTTTTTCATGCTTGCAAATACAAAATTATATAAATAGGTACTAAAACTAAACGACAATAATTAACAGCTAGTTGTTAGTATTTAATTTAAATCGGCTATTTTTTACTGATAAAGTGATAATCTTATCACTGTTAAAAATTTAAAAACTGTAAATAAATTGTTATATAAAAGTTTCAATTTTGATTTTCGATTAAAATAATTCACAGAAAATTACAAATTGAAAATGTCTTTTTTAATGAGATGAATGATATAACCAGAAAATTATCATGTCAGCATTTAATTTTAGCGGTCCTGCGGAGATATTGAGAGCAGAACAAAAAGACGAGGAACTTTATGAACGAATTAATCGACAGCTAAGTGAATTTCTTCTAAAATTCAAAGGTAATTAATTTATTACGATTAAGTATGATGTTACATGATTGACCGTGATAGACCTCTGCTGCTAATAATTAAATGTTTTTAGGACATGTGTTTATAAACAAAAATAAACAGAACATATTTTGTACATCACAATTACTGTACTATGCACTCACGACGCTGTCTAAGCTCCAAACACTGGGCGAAGAATATACAAAAATTGTCCAAGTTGGAAAAACTGGAAAACACATTCCAGGACTTATAGTAATTAAAATGCTAAAAATAGTGGTATAAACAAAAGTTTACTGTGAATGGTTTTGTTTACAGCAAAGCACTGGTATGATATTAGCCCACGTATTTGGAGACAGACTTATAATCCTAGCTTTGGATCGTTTAATTGATAACGTTCAACATAACAAATCAATAACAAGTCTGGCCAAAGATCAAATCATACGATTCGCAACATCTGTCAAATCTCTAGTTCCACTGTTACAAAGCCTCAACAGAGTATTATTTTACTGGAACGGTTCCTTTTATACTTGGGCCAAACGATTTTTTCACATAAAATATGTAAGCATAGGCCTAAACTTTAAACTTAAATAATTCAAAGTTGTAATATTAATTTTTTATTTAAGATCTATGCTGCCCCATGGTACCGCCCTAAGCGGCCTTTACATGTGTTTAAAATTCTTAGTGTTTTGACTGCCATCCATTTGAGTGTGCTCATGATCATGACTGTGTTTAAAACCCCAAAAGTACAAAAAAACGCGGAAGAACATCTCAATCAGCTAACTCCATTGAATAGTAGCAGTAAATGTTCTCTTTGTTTAGAACCAAGACAAAATACCTCACTTTCGTTTTGTGGACATCTATTTTGTTGGTCTTGTATTCATGAATGGTTACAAACTAATGACTTTTGTCCAATATGCCGCAAAAGACTAAATCCTCGAATGGTGGTACCTTTACAAAATTTTATTTAGGTAAGCCGTGAACAAATTTAGAGTGCAATTGTACATTTAATTAGGAAAAAGGGAAAAATTATTGTGATAAAATTTTAGTTAATTAGAAATTTTTGATTGTATTTAATAAAATATTTTTATATGATCTAAAAAAAGTAACTTGTTGTCCAATTATTTTGATTACTCAGTGGATTATTAAATTATTTTGTTATTGGTATTTTTATTGATGGTTTATTTTTATAAAAAACAATTACAACAAATTAATGTGTTAATTTGTTTATTTTTCTTGTATATGTCATGTACTCATATACTTAATCACTTAAAAGATTTGTTAATCTAAGTTTAAAATAATTATTATTTTTATTGCTGCTGCCAATTACTTATTGTTAAGAAATTTCTTGTTTACTAATAATAGAAATTATTTGTCAATTACCAAGCTTGCATCAGCCTTAAATTCTTTTATAATTCTTTTAAAATATTTAACTTTATTATCATTAACTGGTTTTTAATAGAAGTATGATAAAAAGTTGCATATTATTACACTATACGTCTATACATTCTAATTAGTATAAATTAAAGTAAATGTTCAACAATTAATTGTTTAAAGGATTTTAATATTTGTCATGTAATACAATTAATTCTATTATGGTAACTATTTAATTATATATAATGGACAAATGTTGATTAAAATTTAATTAAATCTTAACTAAAAAATGTAAATAATTTATTTGAAAATTGAATATTTCAAATAAAACATAAATACAAAGCTAAGATAAAAATGTAATATTGTTAAAAAAAGAAAATAAAAGACATTTTTGATACTCACATGAATAACTAAATAGTAAAATTAATATATTAAAGATGAAAATTGTTTTTAATAATCAGTAATCAGATTGATTACAAATGTTTTTAAGGGTAGTTGCCTAAATCATTATAATACAAATAAAAAATTTGGGCCTTGACCTTTTGTCACTTAATTATGTTTAGTGATCTACTAAATGTATGTAAAGCTTTATTATTAGCCTTCAATTAATTTAATTATTGATCATTATTTATGAAAACAAAATGTTATAATATGGTAAAATCAATAAAAATAATATAATGTATACTTGTTAACAATGTATTAAGATTTATATATTTATCTATATCTATTTACTAAATTTAAACATGGATGGTTTGGTGAATATTCTTAGAAATAATTTATCCTTAATATTTAAATACTTCAGCATGTTACTAAGGCAGTAAATGTATTGAAATTAAGCAATGAATTAAATCAACTAACTACTTACTACATATTATAACTATAATGTACTCGTATTATATTTAACTCTTATTAGTGTTATTGCTTATTATATTGCATTGATTCTCATCCATTAGTAACATAAGATCAATATAGGATCTGAAAAACATTAGACAATTTATTAAATTAAAATAACATGTTTAAACATCAATGTACATTTTTTTACAGCTCAATTTTTAAACAACTAATAAGTTCCATGTTTATACTTCTATATTAAATAATTCTTCAGCACAAAGTTTTACATTTAAAAATAATAATTAATTTTTATCTTAAAGCTATTGCATATTATGATTGAAACTAGTACTTATTATCTACTACTTAATAGTATTTAAATAACTAGGTACAATTTATAGGTCATATAGGATATAGCTACTAAGCCAACGCTAAGAAAATGTTAAATCACTCTTAATTCCCAAAAATGTCTTTCTGTATTATTAAAATAAAATATCTTAACAAATCAAACAAAAAAAAAAAAAACATAAATTAATTAAAAAATCTAATAATAACACAGGAATACAGTGAACAAAACCCTTTCTATCAACTAATTAAAATATTTTAAGCTCAAATATTATATATATTTAATAGCACAACATTGTCTAAGAGCTTAAATGTAATTGTGTGAATGCATAGTACCTATACAAAATGTAAATTAATTAATAATAAATAGTGATATCTATTATTATAATAGATAACACTGTATAGTGCTTACTGCATAGTATATATTTTAGAAATGTAGGTACTATGCATTTATGCTTTTATAAATATGTTAATATAAACGAATGTCTTCAAAAATACTTAGTTAGATAATTATATTTATAGTTTATAAAAACATTCATCTTTTTACAATCATATTAAATTTTAACATACATTTCACAATTTAGCTGCCTCGCAGATAAAATGGTTTCAGCTTATAGCGTTTTTAATTATCTCATAGCATGTTGTTACACAATGTAATATTACCACATTAAAATTAATAATGATTTAGCTTTGAACATACTAAAAAGATGGATGAAATCTTACCTATTTGAGTATATATAGAACGATTAAGTAGTGTTTACTGTGTGTTTAGTGTTTATATTCATTATTTCAAAAATATTATTTTTACATACTTTTATTACGTCATTGAAAAAAATCAATTATTTATCATTTTTTAAATGTCATGCATTTTTGATTTTATATTCCAAAACAGATTTTTCTTTATACTAATTAGTACATTAACTTATAAAAATCAAATTTCGAACGAATAATTAGGTATTTATAAGTTATAAGTATTTTAAATCATAATGAATGGAGTAATGATTAATGGACCAACATTTAACGAGGTACGCCGTGTGGTTGTTCACTCAACTCTACTCATTTATACATTAAACATAATGAGTTATAATCATAAATAATTAACAACATATTCAAAATTAGGTTTAGTCGTTTAGATGTACATAATTAATAGTCCAAAAATATCCTAATTCAGAAAAGGAAATTAAAAGTATACGTTATTTTTCAAAAAAGTACATAAGATATCTGAAAAATGTAGACTTTTAAATGGTTACCTTGTATACATAGGTATATGGCTGTCACTATTATATGGTACCTACTTAATCTGGGATAACAGTATATGACAAGAATAATGTATAAACAGAACGATATTAATTCATTATCTAAATGGCAGCACTCATTTATTAAGAACGATTTTAAATTTTAGAAAAAAAAATATTTTATTAAGTTACTTTTGGTTTGAGGTTTTTTTAATTATAGGTAATCTTAACACTACATTCTTACAAAAAATCTACTTTTTTAATAACAATAATGTTTTTTTTCATAAACAGAATTATAAAATCTTTCATTATTTTTTCTAAAAATATGAATGTTTAAACTTTAAATTAAATCAGAATAAATATTTTTTTTTTATTAATAGTAAATTATTATTTATTACCTAACTATTTAAATATTTATTTCTCAAAAACTATTTGTTCAATATTGACAATATTATCCTATATAAATATTAGAAAAAAACGTTACTTTCGATTACATAAATTAAAATACATTGTTTGGCAGCTTTCCATTAAAAAAATTAAAAACCTATAAAGATTCAATGAAAAAAAAATAAAATATTTATACCTCCATTTACTGTACATAAAAATAATAGATTTTGAAAAGACAAAATTCTAGTGAGAACTTTAATGAAAATATAGTTTAACAGATCACTCTGTACAGACATACAATATGGCAGTTTTAAGTTCATATATCCTATACTGACAAACCATGGTTTTTTTTCATTACTCCAATTTAGCGCCCATACGTTTTAACGCTAAAATCGTATTGGTCGCCCGAATCCACTGTTTTTTTATTACGTAACGTTTCAACTTGGTCTTGCTTAACGCTTTCCGACGTTCTGCCGTCTTCAACCAATTGTGTCCGAGAGCCTCAGCAGCTGTCATCCTGTTCCTGTGCACAGAGATAATATTAAATTACAAGTAATGTTTTTGCGCTTTCGTGGTAGATAATATATAATTGAATTCAGAGATGTATTGAGAAAAAGTACTGCATATTATGTGCTGTGTTTCGTATAATATGCTAAACAATACTGTAAACAGTGTAAACCATCATTTCTCAACCTTTTTAGTGTCACGACCCCAAGAATAGGTATAAAATATGATCAAACATTCGCGACCCCCTCCTCTCCCCTGTCTATATTAAGTACAAATTTGAACAATAAAAATATCATATCGGTCACCGATTAACCAAACGAAATATACCATTTCGAATATCAATTTATAAATATATGTGTAGTAATTTAAATGTCGAACCACAAATTAAGCAACTTTTAAACGTAAAACAAATTCAACGATCAAACTAATTATTTATTTTATAATGTTTATTCATTTATATAATCATTATCATTATTATTTTTAGTATTTTTTTTGTCCAATAAAAATTTTTAAATAAAAAGGTTCATTTTGTAAAGTGGCGTTTTATTATTTTTGACATACATGACCCCTAGGCCTTAGTTAAGGTGATCGCGACCCCCAGGTTGAGAAACGCTGCTATAAACATAAACACATCGACAATAATTATTGCCGACCATCAAAAATTATTTAATAACTCGACTGTAAAAACTCAAACCATCTTCTCCGAACAAGCAAAAACAAACGCATTACGAAATAGAAAAAAAAGCTCATACATTAGTAAAATAAAAAAACGACGACAATTATTTAATTGGTATTATTTATGTAGGTACGTATGATATTATATATGTTATGATGCTATTTAAATTATTGCAAAGCTTTAGATGTTCTTTTTTTTTTCGCTAATTAAGTATGGTTTTGCGTCGTTTATTTACATATACATCCGATATAAATTGTTTATATAAAAACCAATATTAAGTAGTGATTTGGAGACATCGGCTAAATTGTAGAAGAAGACAAGTAATGACTAAATCAAATATAGGTATAGTCAATAAACCGATTTCCTAATTCATTGCATTCTATTATTTCTATTATGATATCAGTATAGATAATTTGCATGGTACCTACATATCATATTTAGGATAATATGACATACAATGGAAGAATGAAAATAATATTTCCGAATATGGATCATTTTTACACTAAATTCTAAAATAATAAAAGATATATATATATATATAATATATATTACAATTTCTTGATAATAATACACGTTTTGACAGACATTACAACAAAATAATATTATGTTTGTTAAATAAACATTTTAAATAAGTACTTAAATATAGTTATATAAAATTGTAGGTAGGTATACATCAAAAGATTAAAACTATTAATAATTTAATTAATCCTATATTGAGCCAACATTTTTCTTCATAATAATTATTGTGTATAATATTATGAGGTAATTAGTAATCAACATATTTTTTTTTATACTAGGTACGAACTTTTGAGGTCACTTGTACAACAAAATCTAGATATGATTAAAAAATAAAACACGATCGCTATTTTGGCAGGTATAATAATAAGTAATAACATATAAATTAAAACGCAACTATAGTAAAAATAAACAACAAAACTGGTGTTTGTACAAAGTATTGATAAATAATAAAAAACAAGTTTCTTTTAAAAATTGGCGAATCAAAAATAAAACACAGTATAATATAACTAGTTAATAGAACATTGTGTCTCGAAAATAAAAACAACTTTTCGCACAGGTAATTAAATTACAAGTAAGTACTGTAGTTTGTATCACGGAGAGCACCGTATAATATTATATTATATATTAAAAAAACGGCATTAAAAAAGATTGGTAACTATAAATTTGAGTTAATAGTGTAGTGTGAGTGTGTGTGTGTACTTATTTTATGAAATCCATCAATTGGAAGCACAACATTAGTTGCCAGTACTTTAAAGTTCAAACAAAAAAGTAAATATATTATACACAACATATAAAACATTGAATAGGTATATTATATAAAATAAAATAGTACTGCAGGTATGTATATTTTTTTTTATAAATATAAAAAAAAAATAATACGTTAAATAAAATATTCCTCTTGTGATGGTGATTGATAACGCACAAAATAGTCGGTTTTCTAACAGTATATTATAATGACCTAGAGGGTGTGTTAGGGATGCAAAGTGAAAACTATAATGCTTACGTCTTCGGTAATATTTTATAACATTATACATTTCAGAAATATATCTATAAACATTTACATATTATTAATTTATAATAAAGGTACATAACAAATCACACACATACACACACACACACACACACCTATATATAAATATATATATATATAATATGTAGGTATAAGATGTATTACACACATATCATTTATGTTTAACTGTGTATATTATGATATAGACATGCAACCTGCGAAGGGTGGCGTTGCGTATCAAGTGGACAAATTGGGTTCGGCCAAAGTATCACTGCCGCCGTAGAACAATTTGAGCAACATTTCTCTGGCGGAGGTCAACTCGTGTTCGGGGGAGGCACGCTTACTGTGTGGCGCAGACCTGCATGATGATGATGCCGACGACGAAGACGACGCTGCCGCTGCCGCCGCAGTCATATAATACAATAGGTTGCTGACGGGTGGCGGAGATCCTGACGGAACGTCACGATTCATCGACGAGAACTTGAACTTGGGCTTCCGGTCCGTGACTGCCGCAGTCAGGTGCTGCCTATTCAGCAACAGTTTGTGTAAACTGCTTCCAGAGCCGCCGGCACCGTCCTTCTGAAGTGCTTCCGGTCGGTCTCCTAACATCATTGTCTGCAAGTCTCGTAGCTCCTGTCCCAGGAAATTGGACGATGCAGCCGCAGTCGTAGACGTTCGGAAGTTCGAAAACGTATATGACACGTCCGACGCTCGTCGGTAATTATTGCTACAGTTTGTTATCGTCCGGAAAGTTGTTTGCGTCCAGGTGGTCGTCGACATCCGCTGTTTGTCTGCACTGCCTTGCACAATATCCACTGCTGGTGTTATGTCGATACCTGCTGCAGAAGACATTCCAAAAGTCGCGTTGTCCGTGTCCTGCGGTATGCCGGAAGTTGTAACGGCTGTGTGCTGAGATACGTTAGAGGTGGCGTTTGTATTCTGTGGTACGGACGCCGGCACCATAGATTTTCCAATAACGATTCCGGCGGTTGTTGACATATTGTCATCATTTCCGCACGCCTCTGAAGATTTATTGTCCTTTTGTAGGATACAAGTGGGTGACACAGTGGTGATCTCCAATGGAGATTGACTACGCGACTTGCTGCAAAACTCTTTCAAGTTCACTTTACTTGTTTCCAGAGGCAACAATAACGAGTCTGGTCCGGAGGATGTTGTAGTTGCTACCACTGCCGCCGCTGCCGCCGGTACCTGTATTGTATTCTCTTCGGTTTGTTTCACCAATTTTTTGCTTGAACTTTTTCGTACCATTTTCTTCGGTTTCTTCTTTTGCATCCATCGGTGCGATAAACATTCGGTCGCAGTCAGACGGCTCCTACAACCAACCAACATACACACACAATAAAAATTCGTAGCGTAAATCAAACAATGTATATTGGAGGACAGAAGACATAGATTATTATACCTATCTCTTGAAAATATATATCAAAATAGGGGCATACACAGCACACACATATATATTATAATAATGCCGCCATAAAAATGTACTTAAATCACTGATATTTTTATTAGGTAGGTACGTAATTATACATATTAAGTATAAATATTATATGTATAGATATCTGTACAAGTAGTCAAACCTATAAATTAGAATATATACTTTACAGTAAAGTGTAAATAATAACTAAATACATTATAAATTAAGTAATAGGTTTTTAACAACGGTTTACTAAAAACATTAATACACCAAAATAAAAACAGAAATCTAATTAAAATTTTAAATAACCACTTCTATATAGGTACCATGAAGTTGTACTTGAAGGAGAATACACTGTTTTTAATAAAAAGTTAAAAAATACACTAATTTTCAAAATAAGTTAAATTCAAACATCTTATAAAAATCATAAACTTTTAATTAAATCTAATAAAATCTAAATAGCCTAGAACTATTGTTCCTTGTATTTAATTAAATTTAATTATTGTTCTTTTAAACTATTTAACTATGTATTGAACTATAAACACAAAATATCAATTAAAAGTATTATTATGTAGGTTCCTATCTAGTTAATTTTTTGTGATAAATATATTGATTAGAACTTCGAGACAAGATATCAAGACTTAAAATTAATGTAAATGCATTAAGTAATTAAATAACTAATCATCTTCTACAACATATAGTTATTAAAAAGAAAATTATTTTTATATACTTATTAATTATAATAGACATTTAAATTTTTCTGCAATAAATTGAACTATATGATGTAAAACAAACAAAAATATGGTATTTTTGTTTGCAGTGTACCTATAAAGAATAATACGGTATGCCTACATAAAAATGGAATTAAAAATATTTTCATCTAAACTTTAAAAGACTTAAATCACATTTATACGCTTATAAAATTGTTTTTATTAGTTTTAGAGTTAATTTAACAAAATAAAGCACGTTTGTTTATAAATAAAATCATAATGATATTATATTTTAAAAGTTTATGATTTACGAAATCTAATTAGTCTTATTAACTTATTAGTTATTATACAAAGTTTATTAGTGTTAGATTACATATATATTATATATGTATTTAATTAAAGATCAAATGCAATATATACTACACTACTACATAATATATAGATAGTCAAGGCCAGTGCTGGTGATTTTTTACACAAAGGTGAGAATGCAAGATTCAATTTTTCCATCTCTTTAAAAATATCTGTTTATATTCATTGAACCGGCCCTGATAAAATTTGTACAATAGTCAGTAGGTATAGCTGTATAGAGTGATGTATTCTTATAATTAGAAATAGAAATATAATTAAAAAAACATTTAATATAATATTATGTAAAAAGTAGTAAAAAAATTATCAGTGAGTTTTAATTAGTGCAATATTAAATATTATATAATACTGCCATTTAACAAAAACCATACTTGTGATCTTTGACAAGAAGCTTTTTGATAAAATCTTTCGCGTCATTAGATATAGAATCGAATGCTTCATCATCAAAATCGTATTGAGCAATTGTTACATTGGCCATAGTTTCCACGTCGGTTTCTCCCATAAAAGGCGACAAACCCGATAATCTATATTAAACACACCAAGCCAGGATTTAACATCACATAGATATTGATTGTAAATTTATTACTTACAAAACATAACATATTACTCCAACAGACCACATATCTGTACCAAATCCAATAGCATCGAAGTTAACTACCTCAGGAGCTACAAATTCTGGTGTACCAAACAACACTTGGAGTTTATTTTCAGGATTGAATTTTCTAGCCAAACCAAAATCAATGATTTTTATACGATTTCCAGTTTTAGTTAAGCACAGTATGTTTTCTGGCTGAAATCCAATTAACACAATAATGTTTAGACTTATTTAAAGATTTAGGTATAGGTAATCATCGAATATACATTCATACAACAATTAATTTATGTAAATAAACTGCAGTATTGCAATTTAGCCTATTGGTACCTTGAGGTCAAGATGGAGTATATTTTTCGAATGAATAAATTGCACCCCTTCACAGATCTGTCGCATAAATATTGTTACAGCTTTTTCGGTCAATACAAAATCATCACCAATTACTCGTTCAAATAGTTCCCCTCCCTCGACTCTGGAAGAATTAATAATTATTTTTATACAAATAAGTAAACGATTTTATTATTGTTATGATTTTAAAAATTGAGTAGTAAGTATAAATATCTATTGTTTAGCCCCACTGTTTCATTTAATAATAAATATATTCAATTTTCAATATTATCTACTTAAAGATTATATAGGTATTTTAAAATTTCTGAAACTTTTTGTAGTACTTAAGAAGTGTCCAAATTATAAATGTTGATAGATTTATTGTTTATATTATTATATTAATAATAACTAAAATGTGTAACCCCATATCTTTTTAATTCAGTAGGTATATCAATATGATACATCATTCATAGTACACAAAGAGTTTAAGAAAAGTTATCCGTTAAATATTTTACTACAGAAAAGCGAGTTCTTATTTGAAAAATAGAAGTATAGTAATAAAAAATTTCAAGAATTTAAAAATACAATCTTTAATTTTATTCAAAAATTCAATTCAATTTTAATAGCATTAAGAAATAAAAAGAGTAGGTATATAATAATCAAATACTTCAATTACAGTTCTAAAATGAAGCACATTGCATTATTTGCTTCAAAAGCGTCGTAGAGTTGTATCAACCTGGGATGTTGAAGTTCACACATTATTTCTACTTCTCTTTCCACATTTCGACGATCTTGTTTATGAACAATACCAACGAATTTAGCAGCCAACATAAGATTCGTAGCTTTTTCTCGACATTTGAACACCGTACCAAATTTCCCCCTTTTAAAAGAAAAACAAATGCATAATGTTATAAAGTTATAATAAACGCATTAAATTTGTACTACATTCTTGCTAGTTACTACCTATATATTATGATTATTGTTAACATTGTTAAATCGTTTCATTATTTGTTTTATAATCGCATGTATAAAAATGGTATTATCTAAAAGGTTGTATCTACCTATAGACTATAGAGTATATAGCATGACTATTTAAATATTTATATTAATTAGGTGCATATAGATGTGCAATTACTTCTCATTTTATTATTGAATACTGAACTGTAATCATTAAGAATAAACGAACTACAGTTATATTAATCGCATTGGAAATTGGCACTATGTAGCCAAAAGCCGTGTGCCCGTGTTTAAATTTATTTACGAACAACAGTGTTGACAGTACAAATGTTTGAAATCTTGTTCGATAATCGTTGGCATCACTGTAATAGTCTCCTCCTTTCGTTACGAAAATAATGCCGGAATCGTGAATTGTCTATTTTGTTATCAATGTTTTGTTCGTGATATTATTTTACATTAATTTGATGCATTACTGCACAACAAACTGAACAAACTGAAATCAATTTTCGTCTTCGAACTTAATACTTTTGTGTCTTTTTATTGAAATTTCTATGTAAGTATTGTGCATTATTATTTCACTACTATATATTAACACATAGTTCGTTTGAAAATATAGTTTTAAGGCTGTATTTCTAAGTGACTAAATAATTGGTAAACAAAAATCATTCGTTCATTATTAGGACACAATGACTCAACAAAAATGTATACTTTTAGTTGTTTTACTTAATCTTTTGAAGTTAAAAGTGTACAATTAGAACAATTTCCAATCGACTATTAGAAATTTAGTTATTTTAAAAAATAATTATTATTTTTATACATACGGTAGGTAGGAAAATTAATTTTTATGATAGATATTTGCTTATATATTTAATTTATTCGAGTTTATTGATAAAGATTTTAAAACATCACATTTTTATTTAGTTATTAATTTCAAATTATTTACGGCCTTAGCATAAATAACATAATTTATACTTGTTACAGTATTTTATGGGAAATGGAAATCATTCAATTATTATGAATCATAATATTTCAAGCAAATTTATGTGTTTAGTGGAAATATAATATACCTACTCGTTAATTAATTTTACTTAAGTAATTAGATATATATTTGTACTCTTTTGAGAAATCAACATAACCAATGAAGTGTCTGCTGTTTTAGGTTAATTTTTTATTAATTAAATTTATTTTACAAAATAAAACAATGTAAACACAATAACTATAATTTTTTTTAAATTAAAATATTTAAACATTTTTTGTCATCATTCAATTTCTATGTACTAGTATTAGTGTTAATATTAAAAAAATGAACAATAGATAAAGCTGAATAAATAAATATTTTCTCTACGTTAAATTAGGTACTGTTAGAATTAATTTTCAGACTCAGAATTTTTTTATTTGATTTAACTAAAAAGGTAACATTGATACTTTTGTAATAATCCTTAGAAAATAAATTTATTCAACTATTTTCTTAGTCAAATAATCTGTAAAATGACATATTAAAAGAATACAATTTATTTGACAATTAATTTTTTAATTGTTACATTCTTAAAACAAGTATTAATAAGAATATTTTTTAACATATGTCTCATAAAGCCATAATATTATAATAAAATTATTTGTATACTTAGAATAAAAAATATAACTAATTTGTTTATAATATGAATGCTTATTTATAAATAGCTAATGCCAAAATATTTTTGTTATTATCATACATTTTAAATGTTTACAATAAGTAGCAATGTGTTTATATTAAAAATGAATAATGTTTAAAATAAACTTGTTTTCAACATTTTTTAAATAATTTGTTTGATCCTATTACATTTTATATCATTCTTATATAAGTAAATTAATCCTAAAATATTAGTGCAAAATGTTTGTTTTAAATAAAATTATTTATTTATTTTTTTAATTTTTTATAAAATAATAAGGTATAAAATCAGAAGAAATTATTTTTTGAAAGGATTTTCACAACAGTATTACCATAAAGTTTAAGTTGTTTTTAGACAGTTGGCATTAAAAGCTTTATATATTTTATAAATAGCTTAAAGCCAGCTAACATGGTCGTGATGGTCATTATCACATAGTTGGAATATTTGGGCAAACTCTACTAGTGCCAGTAAATAATAATTTACTTTGTGCACAGCCTAAGTTTTATAATTTATCTTTTTAGCATTATTTGTATGCATAATTTTAATTAATATTACAGGTATTTATTTAAAATATTAATTATAGTTGATTGTTAAATTAATTTATAGATTTGGCAGTACTATATTTATATACTAATTGTTAATATATAAGATTTTTATTAATTTTTGAATAAGTTTTATCATAGCTATATTAATGAATTGTATGAGACATAATATATAATGAATTATTTTTGAAAGTAAAAATTAAAATTAGTATTATTTAATGGCCTGGCTCTTTAATTAAATAAGTTAATAATAAAAAATTCCGTGCAAAATGTATATAAATTCTTACCGTCCAATTTCAGATTGTAGTTCATAGTGCTCTTTCATATCTACTCCTCTACGAATTGTAATATCTTTGTAAGGGAAACTAGGTTCTAGTTCTAAAAAATAATAACAATAATTTAATGATTATTTATATATTGTACTATTCTACTATAAAAATTGTTTAATCTAAATATAATTTTTTTTTTTTAGTACAAACATGGCACAACCTGAAGTTGAAATGTCGGAATTGGAAGAATTACAAACTAAAAAATTATGGCATCAATTGACTTTAAAACTCTTGGCCTATGTTAAGGATACAAATGTTCAAAAAAAGGTTGACTTATTGAGTTTTTACAATAAATTCATCCAACCAATAGAAGGCAAAATGAATTCTTTTGCTTTGGTTGAAATTGTTTCATATGTAATTCCATTTATAAAAGAGCCAAAGGAAGCAGTTACATTTTTAGAAACTCTGGAACCCAAAGTTAAAGACAAAATTGAAGCTTTAATTTTTGCTAAAGTTTTAAAAGGTGAGATACTTTTGGATAAATTGAAAAACCAACAAGATTGTTTGGTTGTTATTACTGATGTTGATAAATTGCTAAGTGATCTGGATGAAATATCTCCTGTGCACAGCCGATATTATTTGTTGGCTAGTCATCTGTATCGTATTCAAGGAAAACACACTGAATATTATCGCACTTGTTTGAAGTATTTGGGTGCAATTGATTTGTCTACTATTAGCCAACCGGATCAAATAAGAAACGCATTTTTATTAGGACTTGCTGCGTTACTAAGTGATGACATCTATAACTTGGGTGAATTGCTTATGCATCCCATTTTAGATTCATTAACCAACACAACAAATTATTGGTTGGTAGAACTATTAAATGCATTCAACACTGGAGACATCACAAAATTTGCCAAAATGAAACCACAGTGGGCTTCCATACCTGATATAGCAGTTCAAGAACATAAACTCAGACAAAAAATATCTCTACTTTGTTTGATGGAAATGACGTTCAAACGACAAGCTAAAAACAGATGTTTATCATTTCAAGAGATTGCACTTGAGACACAATTATCATTAGAACAGATTGAAATGTTGGTAATGAAAGCATTATCATTAGGTTTAGTCAAGGGTAAAATCGATCAAGTCAGTGAAGGTGTATACTTGGAATGGGTTCAACCAAGAGTGATGAACAAAACACCAATATCGGGTATGATTGGTAGACTGGACACATGGTGTTCAGAAGTCAAGAACATGCAGTACAGGATGCAAGACGAAGCCCAAGATTTTTTAAAAGTTTAAACATTATAGTATATTTATTATTATTACGGTTTGTTTATGAAATACCCTTTTCAATAATTTACAATGTACCTAACACAAAAATGTATTCAATCTTATGTATTTTATAAAATTTGTTGTACAACGTATAATTAAATTGTGTGTCTAACATATAACAATTTTGTATTGTTTTTTAATTTTCTCACATCTACTGTTATTCATATTACTTCCTTGTGTAAGTACTACGAATGATTTTTTTTCTTTTTTTTTAAATTCTATCAAAACACTTTCTTTTCAAGCATCAAATTTTGACGACTACTCAAATCTTTATAAATTCATATTATAATGTGCCAAAAAGGCTAATTATTTATCTTAAATTTATGTACATTAAGTTTGTAAAACGTGTTTACAAGATTTTTCGGTTGTTTCTTCAACGAAAGAGCAAAACGAAATAGTAAAAAAATGCTATGCCAGAGAATGGTACGGAAATTCAGTTGGCGAATGTTCAAAAGCTATAGGTGTGCATTCACGACGTACACTTGGTAAATTATACGGCGTTCGCGGCGTCATTCATTACACACCGTTAAGGCGGTTTAAAAGAGCAATAGAGTCGGTGGCGTGTGCGTAGTTGGTGGACCCGGCTCGCGGGGCTTTTATAAATAGGTGAATTTTTCGTACACTCGGACGGGAAAAAAATATGCGGTCATTGTTGCCAAAAAAAAAAAAAAAAATTACGTTTATACCGTGGTACGTAGTACGTTTATAATAATATATTTTAATATTATTAATATTATATATACACAAATATACGTGTATAATAGTAATAGTTATATGATAAAATTACGCTAACGTTGCAGCAGAAAAGAAAGACAACGTCCGGTCGGCGGTCGGAGATACGCGTCGGATTGTCTAATTTTAGCTCGGCCGACGTATTATTATTATGTTATAGACTATTATAGTGTCGCCGCTGCTGATCTCGCAAATACTTTACGCTCACCGAACCGAAGAGCTCAGACAACAGCAGCCGTGTTCTTCGTGTATTGTGATGGTTTTTTTCCACCTCGTCACCGCCCACGTATGGGTCTCGCAAAATCCGTACGGCGTATAATAGCTTGCTATATATTTTATTCATTCTTCTACACACGCGCGTCCCGGGTAAATGTTTAAAAAGTTTAAATTGTTTTCAAACGTTTTACGTGTATTCTACTCGCATGGTTATTGCCTATCAAATGCCCGGTATTATCACTGTCCACTCACTAATAAATAATAATAATAATAAAAAAAGATTTAAAGATTCTCATATCTCATACCAAAAAGCATGAATTAAAGGGTAGGCCGGGTAAAGGATACTTTAAGTGTCTGTTCCGTCAGCATACTGCAATTATGTCAAGAATTTTTTTTATACGAAAATCATTGATAGTATTTATAATTTTGTTATTATTTAAAACGCTTAGGTAGGTAGGAACTCAAATCTATTATGAGCTAAGCATTCTCAAGACTCCTCCCAAAATTATGCTTAGAATTAATATCTTATGTTTTGACTTCATCCATAACGTAGAGTTTTTACTTTTTATAAAAAAATTACAGCCAGTATGATTTCAGCCTCATTTAACCGTGTACAGGTATAGAACTATTTATTTTCTAAAAATTCCATTCCTGCAGGGCCCAGGTTTCACAACGTTAATCTCACTAAGAAATGCATAAGTAACCTCCTACTCCTTTAAATCGTAAATAATTTTATAAATGCATTATTAATTTGTTTTTGTCAAGAAAAAAAGATTATTCTAAAAGTTGTAAATAAAAAACAACCTACTTCTATCCCTGATTTGGCCACATCTTACTTCCCTCTTATTAATTTAAACTCGCAAGTCGCATTGAATTACCCCCTCCTACTACACAACAAATCTGCGATCTCAGATCTAAAACATTTCTCATTTATTATCTCACCTTAAACTGCCCTAAATTATTATTACAATGCGTGCAATTTCATATTCATTAATTAATCTTTCAACATTTAAAAAATATTTTCCAACCGACAAAAAATAATATATTCCTAATACTATCATTCCTTAAACTGCCTTAACCATTGACCATTCCATTTGAGAGGATGTCGCACCCGCATGTGTTGTCTCCATCTTACACAAGTATGACATATACCTAGTAAATTTTCGTTCACCAGCTTCAATAGTGTGTTTTTAGTTTTTATATTAGAGTGAATTGATCTCTGATCAAATTTTTAGATAAAAATATTATCAGTGTTCTTCGTTGGTTTTTCACGATATTTAAATTTTTAAATTAATTATGAGCATTTTCAAACATTTATATTTTTCATACTCATAACTTACTTAAAAATTAATTTTTATCATATAATATTTATATACTTTCTAAATTAACATTTTAATTATTTAAACTTAAATTCAATATTTAAATTGATGAAATCAATTGCAAAACAAAGTAAATATATTTCTTGTAATTAAAATGAGTTGATTTTAGTTAAGTAACTATTTTAAATTTAAATTTAAATATAATTCATATTTTAAAGTGCCATTTATCCGATTTTTAACACAATTCAATGATGGTTATAAATTATAATAAAGAAATATTTATTAACGGCAGGAGCCACTAGCCAATAACTATTTATTAAATTCTTAGCCAATGTTACTTTATTCAAATTTTTGATAAAGAACAAGACAGCTAATATATTATTTTCATCGTTAAATACTTATAACTTGTAGATTTTTAATATCATATCATACATAGTGTTTATCTTAAGAACTTAATTTGCACTAACTGATACAACATAATCATAACAGATACCTATATTGCACGATTTACAGGCCAAGAGTATATATGTAACACAATGAAATTTAAGGACTCCGCAAACAAAAATGTTTTGTATTATTAATTAATTTTTCAATAGGACTTAAAAAAAAAAAATGTTGAGTTGTAGATATACTTCTTAAATAATGAGGGTATTTAAGACTTATTATTGAAGAACATGGTTTCTAAATATCTCTTCTTTCTTATGCAGCGACACTATCATGTAAGTTTGTTTTTTGTGTATTATGAAATATACTTAGCCCTTGCCTCTTAGGTATAATTTACCTACTTTACAATAAATTAATAGTAAAACCATCGAAAAACATTATTACTTACCTCCTATTGGATCTGATTCGTCCACTTTAATCATGATTGCTTCGGGAGTCTCAGCACCCGAGAGTTAAAGAATAATCCGTTTGTTGACGTCCTCTAAAAATAAAACAAAACACAAGCTATAGGTATTAACGGCGGAAAACATACGTGCAATAGGTCGATTTTATATTCATGTTTTGGCGCCATTTATGTGTTGTTATCGCCACGTTTAAGGATACCGCTATAATATTAAACTGTGCATCTGTGCCTATAATTTTATAAGCACGCTGCACTAATGCACACATAATCATTTATATAACGGGTTAAGCTTTATTTGCAATAATTATATATAAACCAAATATTTGAATTGCTATAGTAAATAATAATCGATCATACGCATTAGAATTCTTTAGAAAGTTAACAATCTATTTACAGCCACAGGTTTTATATTTTTTAAATTCATTTTCTGAAAAATTATGATCTTTCATAAATAAACAATTCAAATATCTAGAGTGTAAAATTAAGGAGTGTTAAAAAAATGTATGTTTCTAATCTGTAAATTGCTATTATGAAACTTGAAAGTTTTTCGATTAAATCCGATGGGAATTTCGAGAGGGATATCGCAAAATGTGCTGTTTTTGAAAAAATTTCCAGACGAGGCGATTGGCAATAACATAATACATTACATGCTCACATGGTTATAAATAGATAACCATACATATATTACATATATTATGCATAAATATAAAGGCGTGTTCTGTGCACGCAATAAAATATAGTTTTCATAAACAAAATTAAAACTCGTCCATGTCGCAAACTACGTACCTACCTATCTATAATTGGCTTATAGTATTATATCACATTAATGGGTAGATATATTTTTATTTCTTTAAAAATGTTATCAATATAAAGTTTATGAATATTATTATCCATAGGGTTTTTGAAAAGAAAAAACCGTTTATTTTTTTGTTTATTACATCTAAATAATTATTAGGTAGGTATTAACTATTGATTATATGACCATAATAATTAAATTATAGTTGCAACGAACATCACCCATATCATATAGGTACAGTCGTACAGATACTTCAAAAACGTGCTGATACATACAAAATATATTTAGTTACTGTAAATAATATGTAATCTGCACTTTATATTATAAGTAATGATTTTTGCCCACTATGATACCATTTAATCTAATTAATCTAATATTATAAATCAATTTTTCAAAAATATCACGATACAAGAGAGGATGATAAGCAGGGTAAGTTCTAGTTTTATTATAGCGCCCAATGCAAGAATTATTTCAACACCCTTACCCTATTTTTCTTTTAATTTTAATGTTTCTAGCGCCTCCGTGCCGTCGTACACGTCGATTGTATTTAAAAACCGGCCCTGACGATAAGTATATCTAAACGTTATATTTTAAATTTAAATTTATAGTAGGGCACGCGTGAAACACATAACACACGTATTAAATCTGTTAATTACAAAATGTGTGATTGTATTTTATAAATACCTGAGTATAACAAATCGGGCCGGCGAATGGTTTTATTTTTAAAACGTTTCTTATTATAGGCACGAGTCGGATTCGATTTTAAAACTTGTAAATCACCAACACCGTCAACGGATAAAAAATAAAAATCTCACGACAACGTGAACGGGCGCCACGGACGAAAAGTTTGGTTGTTGCTCGGATAGTCGGATCTATCTAAGTATTGTGTTAGGAAGATTGCAGATTAATGTTGTTGCAATATTTACATAGATCGCGAATGCAAAATAAAATTAATGTGGAACGGACCACCGCGATGAGACGACGGCAAAATACAAGAAAACACAAGTGTCACGCCGGCACCAGACGCGCGCTAACTGCCTCGTTTATATGTTGGACGTGAATCATTCGTGTTTTTTTTTTCGTTATCGTGAATAAGCCGACGGACGACGAGTAGCGACGGCCGTCGACCGGTAGGTAAGAGTATGACAATAATAAAATTTACGCGCGGCATGCGCGCGCGATCAAACGACCGAAATCGAATCGACGGTTATAGTAATTGTAATTACTAAAGTTTGGCTACCGTGCGATTTTTGCAATTTATATTTTTCGAAACCTAGGGAAATCGACGTTTTAAAGATGATTGATTGATTGTGCCAATAAAATAAAACAATCATACAAATCATAGTTTTGTAATTATTATGAGTTATGACACTTTGTAATCTGTAATATTTTGACCGTTGTTTTATTCATTAAATCTATTAATATAAGCAAATATTTTTTCTCAATTTTGCATTTTAGGTGATTTTTCGTGGAATATACAAAATATTTCTTAATAACCCGGCAAAATTTGAATAATTCCTGGATATTCTCGATGCACTGTAAACTTAAATTAAAAATATACCTCAAAACGTGTCATCGGATCTAACTAACACGAAAAACACTTCTCCCCACAAAAAAAAAAAAAATAATACACCATTGGGTATCCTATTGAATAGCCAGATACTTAACTAAATAGAAGCAACCTGCCAGAAAAAAAAATTAAAATATTACAAGTAAATTTACTGTATATATATTTAGTTACAACCCTTTTGAAATCGCTTTCATCATAAAATATTATTTTAAACAAGTCTCACTCAATTTTTCATGTTTGTAGGTAATAGTTACCAATACCTAATTAATACAAATAATGCATTAAGATTAACATTAAAATTATGGATTATAAATTATAATTTTACACTTAAAATTGTACTAATTTCATTTTTAATAGGCATTTTTAAATTTGTATAATCATAACATTCATAGCATTACAACTGATGGTTTTTGTTGTGTAAAAAGTATGACTACAGACCGCGTAGCATTTGATACATAATATTAACTTAAAGTCCCTCTCATCTCAATATGCAAACAACAACACTCGGATTCAAACGTATCCTATTTTAATTGACATATATGAAAAGTGACAATAACAACAACAACAACACTTATAGTTATACCGTATACATAAAGTGGGCAGTAGCACTGTTTACTGTTTATAGCTACTATAATAATAAACACTGCAACGTCTGAAACAGAGGGGCGACAGGATAAAATTTTGAAAAACAAGACCTAGTAAAACAGTCGTATTAAATGGCGCGTGTAAAAAAAATCCTGAGAAAATATATGTTGATGGCATTTTGACTCGATGCTATGATTATTTTATGTACAAATCAAGAGGCGATCTGTTTAAATGGCACTACACTAATAATTTTACCGCATACATTTTTATTTAAAAAAAAATGTTTTCATATGTTATAATTTATGAAGTACCTACCATTAACTTTTTTTTTAAACAGTATAATATTATATTTTTACGAAAAACTTCATTTTGATTATCAGTTTTTACTTTTTTTTTAATCATAATCTATTAGTATATACATAAATATTTCAATAAATTACAATATATATATCTATAATTTGTAGTTCCAAGACAGTCTAGGGGTTGCAATGTTTTAAGGAAAATAACATAGGCAATTTAAACATAACAGACTTTAAGGATTGCGAAATAAAAAGTTTGAAATTTTTTTTAATCAAGTATAATTGTTTGATAATTTTACTGGAAACTGTGCAAAATATTTATGAATAATGCTTTACATGCATACAAGATTCATACTCTTGATGGCACACGGTGCTGCAGCGAGCTGTGCGTTTACATCATCACGGAGAGTATAAATGTGGCTTATGATTTTAAATTCTGAGCGACGCGTATTGACATTTAGGCATTTGGCATGGTGTTGATTTTACAATAATGTGTTTTTTATATGTATATTTTATTTTTGTCTACTTTATGTAGCAGAAAAAATGATTTGATTTTCACTTATCTTTTAGAGGGATGAAGGAACTGTTGAAACTTTGGAAAGAAAATTTTAGTATTTCTATTTTGTGAAAACAAAAGTATTAAAAACAGGAATTTATGAAACCGGTTTTTTAAAATATTTCTAATTTTGTTATAATCTTAAAACAATATCCAATAAATATATAATAATTGTATACATTCTATAAAAGTAGATAATTTATATTTAAAGGTATAACAACAAACATGTTTTATATTTTAGGATAATTTTCAAAATATTTTGACACTTAGAGCTATTATTATAGACATTTAATTTTCTATAAATATGTTAATAAAAAAATGGTTACTGGTCAAAGAGATTGAAAATTAAATATAGTAATTTTCCTGGGTGGTCATGTTTAGTAATACGTAACTGAAATGGGGCATACCA